TCGCGACGTCATAACCCTAACCCTAACCTCCGAACACGAAACCCTAACACTATCAACCCTATTAGCTGCAGGGCTGCAAATTCGTGTCAACGTGCAACTCAGCGCTCTAATTAACATATCTAAATTTTAGAGCTATCGGCCTGCGGGAACCTAACTGGACCAGCCTGCGAAGTTTACTGGAATGTGATGGGCTGGAGCCCAGTTGGTGAGTCCTCGATGATATCTCGGTCACGTGCGCGAGGCGCACTGTCCACAGATTCCGGGTGCCCCCCCTGAGCACCCGGATTCTGTGCAAGCGAGCCCGGCGGAAGGTTATCCCGAGCCGCCGCCCCCTAAACGACCTTCAGAACCCTAGCTACCTGTAGTTCTCTTCTCTATCGAATACAACTCCAGTATACCTGTGCGATAGCTCCCTGAGCGTAGCCCCTTACAGTTATAAGCTTAACTACGAAGTACACCGAGAATTTGCAGGACAGCAAGTGCTCTCTTTCTGTGGCATGAAGTTGGTTTGGATCCTTTTGCGATATGACTAAATAGTGTTTGCCCTGAGGCGTTGGTTGGAAATGCTGAATATTGGCTACAATTCAGATGATATCGAAATTCTGCAGCTTAAGCTCGCCGCGATCTATCATGTCGATAGCTCTCCCATGCATGAAGCCGTGCACGTATGCTTCGCAGACCAATTTGTATTGGTTACCAATCTTTCTCAGAATGAAAGGCATTGTGCCACCGAGGAGCACGGTCAGAACATCTGTGTGTAAAGGCTTGCCGTTGGCTATCCCAATGCATCCATTTGGGCTGAAGAAGAAGCAACGCTCTTCGTCAGTTGACACCTCTTGAAGACGTCTATTCTGATGCTCTGCTCGTATTCTCACACGCTTCGCTTCAAACTCGTCCACGCTCTCGCTTGATTCACTCAGCTCCTGTTGACCAAGATGCATAGTAGAAAGAATGGCAGCCGTGATATTTTCTCCGGTAAAGTAAAGCCTGGAAGTGTGCGAGGGGTTGTCGAGGTCTATGTCGATCGTTGAGAGCCAACCATTCAAGTCTTCACGGACGTGTCCTCCGTTACGCCGAACCTTTATTGTGCCAGTGGCTACTTGATCGATGACAACGCCTGCCACTCTCAGGACGCGGTCAAGTCGGCCCTCTACATCAGGATGAAACGATGCGATTGCTCTACGAGACGCAGAAGCATCATACTCGTGGAATTGGTCTACGGTAATAGACAAGCGATCATTGGGTAAGCACCAAAAAGGAGTCCACGATGGCAGATCAGGGGGACTCGTGTCGTGGTTCTGTGCGAAATTCAGCATTCCGAGATCCCCGTCATACAGTATGATTTGCTTTGTTGCATGGCAGTGGGCATCGGTGACGGAGTTTGAGCTGTCATAGTCCGGAATGATACTGTAGCCTGATTTCCCTAGTCCAAGAAATGCATAGATCTTGTCTCTGGGGTCCGAAGATTGAGCGTGCCTTGCGTGCCGCAGGAGTATCTTCATCGGTATAGAATTGCCCTTCATCCATTCAGTTTGTTGATCGATCATAAAGTCGATGTCGGTCTTCCAATTGCCAATCATGCTCTTGCAGTGTTCCACTTTTTGTTCCGAAAACGGGACATCGCGAGACTGAGTCAGCAAATCTCTGGCAACAGCCCGCACGAAAGAGCGGACAACAGTGTATGCAACTTTGAAATCGTCCCAGAACATGGTCACATCTCCAAACATAATCACAGCGTTGCGTGAAACAATGAGCTCCTGTGCCACCCAGCAGCGTCCCCACCACGGACTGAATACGATATCCCGGACTCCCATCCACGCCTCGATGAGTTCCGGGTCTTCGAAGTGTTCTTCCGCCAAAGTTTTTCCAAGCAAGTCGGATACATAGTCAATAGCACCCAATGTCTCCTCGTCGTCGTGGTTCTTGATTTCCAGGTCTATGTCGGTAACAATGTGCTCAATATTACCGTACTGACCGTCCAACCACTGTAGTCCGGCTCCTCCTCTTCCTTCTTCACCCAGCCACACCATGACTCGTCCAGCCCTTCCGTAGAGATCCCGCATAAGTCCTACTTGATGCGCTCGTTCAGAAGGGTCGCTCTGGTCGATGCAGATCTGGTCTGTCCACAGAAGTGCAGGGGGACGTTCCTCGTCGTAATCATCTGGTGACAGCCGCAACCTGCGCAGCGCAGCTTCGAGACTGGCAAATGCATTGAACTGCAGGCCGCTGACAGTTATGGGTGATGTCACACTCGGATCGCCGGCGCAGTAAGAGAGGGCAAGATACTTGGCCGTCAGAAGTGGTTCCGGCGGAAGAAGTTCGCATACAACTGGATCGTCGCGGGCTCCGGGAAAGACCCTGATAAGGCGGATCTCTCTATCGTGACGAGAGAGAGACGTGTAAGGCTTAGATGCGTAGAAAGATACGTTCTTAGGTGAGTAAAAGGTATCAAAGGAAGGTGCAGAGGTTACCCTGCTTTCTGGCGAACTAGACATTGGTAATAGTGTAGTCACAGCGAGTAGATCAGAAAAGACGGTGTGAGGCAGGAGACGTGAGGACGCTGAGATGCTCAGGTTGCTTTTTAAAGGAAGTAGCAGCCTGCATGAGGCTGAGCTGCGAGGCGTCCAATCGACAAATAGGCAGCCGCGGGGTCGGCACCCTCCTCACAGTTCTCCCACCACTTCCTCGCCCTCCCCCACCTCCTATCGGTCACTCTCTCATTCCCAAAGTACCTCCCGTTCACTTTTCCATCACTCTGCCCCTTCCCCAATCCACCATCCTCATCTCCCCCAGACTTGCCTATCGTGATATCAGGATAGCAAAAGTGATATCAGCCGAGATTAGCGCAATAGTACCCTTCGCTGATTGGCTAGGATAATCTGCTTCCAGCTGGAGCAGCTGAAGCTGGTTTACTAAGCAGTCTAGCCGGGGCTACTGATTGGACCAGCTGAGCCACCAGCCAGGCTCTAGCTAGTGCGGGGCAGCCTGATTGTGCTAAAGTGCTATAGTGATATCACAATAGGCAAGTGTCACGGGGACGGCAGGCAGGGAAGATAGGTGCACGTGATCGGTGTATTCACTACGTATAGCTGACAGTACTAGGTCAGGCTAGGACAAGGACGTAGCTCAAGGAGCGTACGACAGGGCGCGTTCGCGCAGGAATTTCAGCGATCGCGCAGCTGCTCGCTTAGCAGCTTGGCGCGCTCTAATAGGCTATCTAGGTCAGCGCCGTGACAGTACTCCCCTCCTTAGGCGGAGCTCCGACGACGCGATCAACGGGGCTTGTCTGGGTAACGGCGATGGAAGTTTTTGACAATCTCCTGGGCGTTCTCGACGTAATCGGCTGGTACTTCAGTAGGCTCGTCGTATCCAGCTGTCAGATAAAATATGCTAAAAAATGAGCTCAGGAGAAGTTGATAATTGCGATGATAGATTATGTCTTGATTATTGTTGTTTTTCGTTGGTCTGTTCTCTCTCCTTTTTGAACATAAACCTGATACATCGGTGATACCTAGGTGATACATAGGTGATACCGTCCACGATGCAGTGTCGCTTACTTCATCTGACACCAGCCCACTTTACTATATACTTCAGTCGTGGCCGGCCTCCACGGCCGCGGCGGTCCCAACGGGAGTCTAGGATGTCCTCGACCTCCCACTCCTCGACTCCCTCGACTTCGACAGGAGGAGGCGGGTCTTGTCGCTGCCCCGGCAGGGGGTCGGTCGCAGCTGGGCGGAGCAGGCTCACGTGGAACACGGGGTGGATCTTCATCGAGGCAGGTAGCTCTAGGCGGTAAGCATACGGGCTGACGACCTTGGTGACCCTGTAGGGTCCTAGGAACTTCTAGTCTAGCTTCTTCTGCGGGCGGGCAGTCTTGATATTCCGGGCGTCGAGCTAAACTAGGTCGTTTTCGAAGAACTGGCGGGCAGGTCTGCGTTTCCTATTGGCGTACTTCTCGTGCTGAGCTTGTGCGACACAGATCTCGGAGCGCAAGTACTCGTGGACGGTTTTCATCTTTAGGGCTAGATCTTTAGCGTCTCGCGCCGCTAGCTGTTGGCTTGGTTTAACAGGCTCGAATCCTAGGCGGGGGTGGAAGCTGTAGTTCGCGAAGAACGGCGTTGTGCGGGTGCTCTCGTTGTTGGCGTTGTTCGCCGCGAATTCAGCTAGCGGTAGCTATCTCGCCTAGTCATCCTGCAGGTACGAGACTTGGCTTCGCAAGTACTGCTCTAGGAAGGAGTTCGCTCTCTCCGTTTGCCTGTTAGTTTCTGGGTAGTACGCAGTAGACAGGAGGGACTGAATCCCTAGGCGTCGGGTTAGGTGGCTCTAGAACTCGGATACGAACTGTGGTCCTTGGTCTGATACGATAGTCTTGGGGAGGCCGTGTAGCTTCTAGACGTACTTCGTGAATAGGCGCGATACCTCCTCGGCGTCGCAGGTACCCTGGCAGGCAACAAAGTGCTTTATCTTAGTAAGTCTATCTACTACGACTAAGATAGCGTCAAATCTATTGCTCTTAGGCAGATGCGTGATGAAATCCATTGACAGGTCTTGCCAGGCTCGGTCAGGTATCGGTAGGGGTTTCAAGACTCCTTGTTTCGCTTCTCGAGATGCCGTAGTTCGTCTGCAAGTGTGGCAGTTCCGGGTCCACTGTTCGACGTAGTCTAGCATGCCGGGCTAGTAGTACTCCCGGGACAGGGCTTCGTAAGTTCTCGACCGGCCTGTGTGGCCGGCCACAGGGCTCTCGTGGTACATACGCAGCAATTCGGCGTATAGCTCAGGGTCGTTAGGCACATACAGGCGGTCTCGGTAATACAGGTAGCCTTCACGCTCCACGCACTCGGCGAGTGTAATCCTCTTGTGACGACTCTGTCTAGTACGGAGGGCTTCTAGGATAGAACTTAGTTCCTCATCGTTCTGATATCCCTTCGTGAACAGGTCCTTTATAGTCGGCGGTAGTAGCAGTGTAGCTCTCTCAGGTGGCAGTATTAGGCGGGCTGGCTCTGGCACTGCTCGTTCTGGACTTCCTATAGCACGGGCGCGCGTAATCGGGAACAGGCGGACGAGGTGGTCGACGGCAAAGCGGACTCTTTTCTTAGGTTTTGGGGAAGCTGGCGGTGTTGGCGGTACGTTAGCAAGGCGGGCGGCGGCTAGTACGGGGGTTGTAGCGGGCGTGTCTGGCGGGGTTGGAGGCAGATCGAAGTTCTCCTTCTTTAGCACTACTTGGCTCTAGTGCTGTAGGCGTTCATCCCCCTCCTTAGGCAGATCTTCTAACCTCCTGGTTAGCGCGTTAGGCTTCGCACCTAGCTTGCTGGGGCAGTATGTAATCCGGAAGTTAAAGCGGGACAGGAATTCGGACTAGCGGGCTTGTCGTCGATTTAGCAACTTAGTAGTTGTAAAGTATTCTAGGTTACGGTAGTCTGTAATAACCTTAATTGGCGATGCGGTTCCTTCTAGCTTAGGTCTCCATTCCTTAAAGCAGCGCACAATTGCGAGCAGTTCTTTGTCGTATATCTTATAATTGCACTCCGTTGTTGAGTGCTTCTTCGAGAAGAACGCTACAGGTCGCAGTACCCCGTCGTCTCCGTACTGGGATAGTACTCCGGCGGAGACGTAGTTAGACGCATCCGTCTCTAGGATAATCTCCTTTTCCTAGTCGAACGGGGCTAGAATTAGGGCTTCGGTGAACGCAGCTTTTAGACGGTCGAAGGCTTTTTAGCAGTCACTATTCTAGGCAAATTTAACACCCTTTCCCGTAAGAGCAACTAGCAGAGCGATAATCTTCAAGAAGTCTTGTATAAACTAGCGGTAGAAGTTGCTAAACCCGATAAACGCTTGTACGTCAGTTAGGCAGGACGGGGTTTTCCATTCCTGTATTGTCTCAATCTTCCTTAGGTCTATACAAATCCCTTCGCGTCCGACAATGACGCCTAGGAAGGTAGTCTCTTCCTTAAAGAATTCGCACTTCTAGATCTTTGCGTACAGCCCGGCCTTTCGCAGTGCAGTTAGTACTAGGCGCAGGTGTTTCTCGTGTTCTCCTCTAGTCCGGCTGTAGATTAGGATGTCGTCTAGGTAGGCAGTACAGAAAACGTCTAAGTATTCCCTTAGGGTATCGTTAATAAATCTCTGAAAAGTAGCTGGTGCTCCTGATAGGCCAAACAGCATTACTAGACTTTCGTACAAGCTAAATCGAGTTCGGAACGCAGTTAAATACTCCTGGCCCTCCTTTATGCGTACGTTGTTAAAGGCAGCGATAATATCAACCTTAGAGAAGTACTTCATTCCCTTTAGGTTGTTTAGGCTTTCTTTCACGAGCGGAAGCGGGTAGCGGTCCTTTACTAATATATTGTTTAGTCCTTAGTAATCGACACAGAACCGGAGGCCTCCATCTGGCTTCTTAACAAATAGTACAGGCGAGGCGGCAGGCGAAGAGCTTAGCCGGATAAAGCCCTTCTGCAGGTTCTCCTCTAGCTATTCCTTTAAGGCTTTAAGTTCTTCTTAGGACATAGGGTACAGCGGCCTAAAAGGCGGCGTCTTACTATTAAGCAAGCGGATGTTATAGTCGTGGGAGCGGTGTAGAGGGAGCTTCTTCGCTTCTTTGGGCGAGAAGACGTCCTAGAAGTCCCTTATCTCCTCTGGCAGTAGGGACTTAGGGTCTAGTAGCTTAGGCGTGTCAGGCTAGGACAGATAGCGATCTATCTGTTCGATCGTGATCGTAAACATACGGTAGTTTCTTCGGGCGTACGCAGCGCAAGCGTTTAGCGATACCTTCGCGATATCTTGATTCCTTAGCAGCTTTAGGCAGTTGGGCAGGTTAATCGGGCGGGATTTTGGCGGGAGCTCGTGCAGAGCGTGGATCTTGTTTGGCCTTCCAGGCGTGTTGCAGTGTTTCTGGCAGTACTCGCTCTCAAACGTCAACGTGTGGCTCGCGAAGCCAATCTTCGGGTCATGTTGCTTTAGCTAGGGCATTCCTAGGATTACCGGGTAGTGCGCCAGCTGCGTCACGTTCAGCCGAATCGTCAGTAGGACTTTACAATGCCCTGTTAGTAATGCTTGCACACGGCAATGCGATGTGCAGGCAAATACTCAAATATGGCGTAAAATTGATCCATGCTATTAATGTCTGTTCTATAAATAAATGCGCTACGTGCTATGTGGGTGCTACTGCAACTTGTACGATCCTGCTGGGTGTGCGGTGTTGCTATAGTAATCTGGCGTACCTTGATTAACGTTGCTTTTTGGTGTTTACCCCGAACCCTATCTAACCCTAACGCGCTGTGCCCTGTAACCCTAACCCTTAGCGGCGCGATACTGCGCGCACAGCTAACCCTAACGAACACGACTACCCTAACACTATTTATCACATATCTCCCTCTACAACAGTCAGATTATCTTTAAAGCAAGTGCAATCGACGCGCCTATGTTTGCTGCATCAGGCTGTAAAGTTGCAGCATCTTGCGACCTAAGACGCCTTAAATCCTTTGCATTTTCGAATTTA